TTCTTTTTAAAAAAGAAGGTGTAAACTAGGACCTTTTCAGTAGTGTAGGGCAGGTCTGGAGAGTTCTTGGGGTTACTGGAAAGCAGAACCTTTTCTTAAGCCCTTGGAATCTGGTAGAGTGCTGTCTCTTTAGGTTGTCTCTAGCTGCTGGTTACGTGTTGATTTGTTTTGTCTTGGTTTTATGGTTTAATAATTTGAAAAGGTGAAGCTGGTGTGTTTTATTTTATTATTGATTCAGGTGTGTTGGGTCACTGTGCTGTTTTCTTTGTGATGGTAGAATCACTGTGTGTAGTGTGGATATGTGTTTTTGTTTTTCATAAAGAGGGTTTAGAGTTCGAAGCATGAGGTTTTATGGTAATTGGCTGAATATGGTTTCTTCTATTGAATGAGTGAAGTTATTAGCGGAGAAGGTCGGAGCAGAAGAAGGAAAGCTTGGTGTTGCTAGGGTCAGTTTCTAGGGCTTTGAGCAGGCTATTATTGATGATGTATTTATTTGCAAGACCGTGGCTTAACCTCAGGAAAGATTCCTAATGTTAGAGGGTTGCAAATTTCCACCAATTTCAGGCACACTCAAAGACCTCACCTCTGCTGCCTCACAGTGCCAAAGCACGGCTCCAAGGCAAAATTTGCAGGACCGCACTCAGCTGCAGTTTCTTTGTTCTCTGTGCCCCGTCTTCCCGCAGTGCTGATGCAATCCCACCAGACCACTAATGGCCGGCTCTGGTGTTTGTCTGTGATACTGCCCACTTGCGGTTCCAAAGATGCATGCAATTTTGGCTGTGTTGGAGTTGGGGGAGTACCTGCTAGTGACCTGTGGTCCCGATATCTGTGGCAAAGAAAAGCACAGTGTCTCCCAGTCTGACCCAAGCCTGCTCTGTGATTTGCTGGGAGGGAAGGGAGCTAGCCTTTCTGATGCAATGGTGAGATCTCTGCCTGAATCTCAGCAGTGGTGCCCGTGCCTGCCTGCACTCAGATGACCCAGACGACCCAAATTACTGACAAAACCAGCTCCTGGAGGTAGGTCTCTGCTGCTGCCCGCTGGAATATTGTAGTTGTTGTTGGTATGCTGCTGGTATGCCTTCTTGGCTCTGGGATCTCAGGCAGCCACCCTCGCCCGGCAGACAGTGACTGCCCCAGGAAAGTTTGCAATGGTCTCTCTCGGATGCTTGTCCCTCCTCCGCCAGTAGCTCTTTCCTAAATAATCTCCCCATGCCTTTCCTCTAATTCTGCTCTTCTGTGTTTGGTGCACTCTGATTCGGTGAGCTGTTCAGAGCACCAAAGTTCCTAATTCAAACTGTTGTACCTAGTTTTCAAAGTCCTTAGATGCCAGAGGGAAAAAAAGCATGCTGCTCACTGGCAAGACTCCATTTATTCACAGTACTCTATCTTTAAAAATAAAAATAAAACAACTTTCTTTGCTCTCATTCTTCCCTTGAATCTCTTGTGCATTTTCTTTCTGTCTTTGTCTGTCTCTTTCTATCAGTATGGATTGTGGATGTTTTTATTCAGTGGCTTATAATCAGCTATCATAAGAGAATTTGGGATATTCAACTTCTCTCACATTGAGCCCAAAGAAACCCTTCAATCTGGCTCCTGTGTGCTCAGGACATAGCTTGTTACCCTAGAGACCCCTTGCTTTCTGGCAGAGCATCATGTCCCAGATTCAACTTATTCTTTCTCTCCTCCAGACTCAGAGTCAGCCACCACTGAATCAAAAAAGAGAGAAAGAGAGAGAGAAAAAAAAAATTGAGATTCCTTAGAGAAGTCAATGCTTATATGCCACCACTAGGTGGATACAGATGCCATATTTGTGTGTGTGTGTGTGTGTGTGTGTACTTTAATCTGAGATCCTGTTCAGTGACAAAAAAGGTCCTTTCTATTTTTCACAAAACCTCAGCTCTTTGACAACTAGATGGGAACTTGAATACCCAGTACAGGGAGAAAGGAAAATTAAAAATAATAAATATGCCACTAGTGATACATGTAGGCTCTGATTTCCCCAAGAATACCAATTTCTTTCTTCCTTTCTTTTCAATTTTATTGTGCTAAGATCTAAGATATATATAAGGGGCTCTAGTGGCACAAAAGTTAAGCACTCAGCTGTGAACCAAAAATTTGGCAGTTTGAATCCACCCAGCTGCTCTACAGGAAAAAGACCTGGTGATATGTTCCCATAATGATTACAGCCTAGAAAACATGCTAAACAGTTCTATTCTATCACATTGAGTACTATGAGTTGGAATCAATTGAACAGCACCCAATAATAACAACAAAATACATATATAGCAAAAATTTTGCCATTTTAACCATTTTTAAGTGTAGAATTCAGTGATACTAATTACTCTGACCATGTTGAGTTACCTTAACTACTATTCTTTTGCAAAAGTTTTACATAACTGCAAACAGAAACTCAGTACCCCTTCAGCAATAACTCTCATTCCTTCCTCCCCGAGTTCTTGGCAACCACTTTTGAATTCATTTATCCTTCTTTTCAAAGACAAGCCCCCTTTATACACCCATGTACCTAATGGTCTCTGGATGAAGACACATTGGACTATTATCAGGATTTCTTTCTTCCTTCTTCTTCTTCTTCTCTTCCTCTTCCTCCTCCTCCTCTTGCTGACTGACTACAGTGAATCGCTTGATTTGGCCCTTCTAGCCATTGTCATCCATTCTGTGATGTATTGTCAATTCTATTATCCATGCCTGTTTGGGGTGTTGTGGTAGTTAAGGTCAGTATCAACTTGGCTGGGAAGCTGGTAGTGATTGTTCCCTATAATAACTGGCATTTGGCTCTGTGGTGGGATTTGCCATGAACAACTGAGTAGCTGTTAATTGTTAATGCCATCCACTTGGGTTATTTCTGTTGGAGCAGCACAGGTGGGTATATCTTGAGTCCTGCCTTGCTGGAGGGTATAATTCAAATCACCGCACTCAGCTTCCTTGAGGGTATACCTATGAATCTCCTGGGAAGGTTTGCCCTCCTCTTGCTGCCATTCTGTGTTTTGGCTCCTTGTCATCTCACCCCTAGATTTGGGACAGTAGCCATCATCTGATCTGCTGATCAACGTTCATCAAACTCAGAAAATTGGGAGGATCCTCACAGACCTGGGACTTGCCAGCCTGCCAGCCTCCACTACCACTATGTGAGATGATCCCTGGGGTGTCTGTGAGTTCTGTGAGGCATTACAGCAAACTACAGAACCCTAAGATGGGGGAGATTACTGAGAGGAGGAGGAGAAGTTAATGTCTGAAATGATGGAGTGACATGGTAGTTTGGACATTTGGGATATCTTTAACCTACACCTCAGGGGGACGGCCTTGTGCTGATCTTTCTAAGAGATGTTGTTCAAACACTGACCATCAGTAACCTTCAAAGATTAGATCTGGATGAAAGCCTCTTCCCTACAATCATACCAGGTGGTATGATGCAATAACCACAAGTCTCAACCAAAATCTGTTACACAAGTATCTACGAACATGGAGGCATATACATTGCCCTATGGTTTGTTCTGTAACCTCAACAATGTCCCAGGTCAGTCATTTTAGTTATTTCAGCAAGCAAAAGGTTTAGTCTAAGGCAAGAGTAACAAAGTTCTGAAGAGAGAAGTTAGGTCATCTCAGATCAGAAAGCAGACTCTTATTCGGTTAGTCATATGAACACAGCACTCAACAGTATTCTAGAGCTGCTTACACAATCTGTCTTGCTGATCCACATATTTTGGGCAAAACTCGTTTCACTATGAATAATTATTTCTAACATCTCTTTTGCTAATGACTGAACTGTCCAAGTGCAGATTTAGATGGTATCATTTTATAGGACAGCCTCCAGAATCTAAATTCAATTCTAACTAACCATGCTGGGGTTGTATGTTACTGATTATGATATTCAAATGATAACTAACCACCTCTAAGGTTTAAAGTTAATGTACATATACACTTATCCCTCTCCCTAAAGTGAAGAATTATTAAACAAATTACAGACACCACAGCTTAATTACTTGCCCACAAATATGCTTCTTCCCTTCTCACCTTCTTCATGCTGTGTTGAGAGGCCATGGTAAGCAATCACAGTGATGAGGAACATGAACCTTGGAGCCCCTTGACCTGAGTCCAAATGGAGGATCTAGCACTTCTCAGTTATGGAACCTCAAGTAAGTTAGTACTCACCTGCTCTAACCTTTGCTTTTCCTATTTGTAAAGTGAGGATAATAAAAATGTAATTTGATAAGCCATGTAAAGTACTTAGCATATGGTATGATTATTACTATTTCTTCTTCCACTATATTTCTTTTTTTAAAAAGTAATTTTATTGTGGTAAATATATATAACAAAAAATGCCATTTTAACTATTTCTATCTAAGTATGTAATTCACTAACATTAATGACATTCACTGTACTGTACAACCATCACCCCTATCTATTTCCAAATGTTTTTCAATGCCCCAAGCAGATACTCAATATTCCTCAAGCAGTAACTCCCCACCTCCTCCCTAGCCCCTGACAACCACTAATAAACTTTTGTTTGCATTTGTTCCTATTCAACTATTCTAGATATTTTATACTAGTAGGATCATACAATATTTTGTTTCTGGATTTTTTCACACAGCATAATGTTTTTAAGGTTCATCCTTTTTAAGGCATGTTTCAGAACTTTTCTCTTTATGGCTGAATAATACGCCATTGTATATATGCATCAGATTTTGTTAATCTATTCATTGTAGGACACTTGTGTTGTTACCACCTTTGACTCTTATGACCAATGCTGCAACAAACATTGATGACTAATATCTGTTTGAGCCCTGTTTTCAAGTCTTTTGAGTATATACCTAGAAGAGGGATTATTGGATGATACAGTAGTTTTATATTTAGCTTCTTGAGGAACCACTACACTGCTTTTCACAGCAACAGCAACATTTTACATTCTCACAGCAATGCACAGATATTCCAGTTTCTTTACATCCTCTCCAACATTTATTCCCCCCTCCCCTTTTTTTTAAATAATAGCTATGCTAGTGAGAAGGCTGGCGGTTCAAACCCACCAGCCACTCCTCGGAAGGAAGGTTGGGCAATCCTACTTCCGTAGTGATACTGCCTAGGAAACCCAAGGAGGGGTCGCTATGAGTCGGGGCCGGCTCGACGGCACATAACAACAACAACAACATGCTAGTGAGTGTGAAGAGGTATCTCCTGGTTTTGATTTGCATTTCCCTGATGAATAATGCCACCACTCATCTGTCAGTGTGTCATACTGTGGTGGCTTGTATGTTGCTGTGAAGCTGGAGGCTATGCCACTGGTCTTTCAAATACTAGCAGGGTCACCCACAGTGGACAGGTTTCAAAAAGCTTCCAGACTAAGCAGACTGGGAAGAAGAATGGGGCCATCCACTTATGAATAGCAGTGAAACAGTGTCTGATATATTACTACAAAACTTTATGAATAGCTGTGAAACACTGTCCAATATAGTGTCATAAGATGAGCCCATCAGGTTGGAAGGCACTTGAAATACAACTGTGAGAGAGTAAACTCTGCAAAGTAGAGAAGGCTTTAATGAGATGGATGGAGTAAAGCTTTCAGGACCTTCATTTGCTGATTGGGGCACAACTCAAAACGGTAAGAAACAGTTGCCAACATCCATTAATAATTGGAGCATGGAATAAACAAAGCATGAATTTAGGAAAATTGGGAGTTGTCAAAAATGAAATGGAATGTGTAAAGATCAATATCCTAAAAGTTAGTGAGCTGAAATGGACTGGTTTTGGCCATTTTGAATCAGACAGTCATATACTCTACTATGCCAGGAATGACAAATTGAAGAAGAATGGTGTGGCATTCATCATCACAAAGAGTGTATCAACATCTATCCTGAAGTACAATGCTGTCAGTGATAGGATGATATCTATACACCTACAAGGAAGGCCAATCAATACTACTATTATTCAAATTTATGCGCCAACCACAACAGCCAAAGATGAAGAAATTGAAGATTTTTACCAAATTCTGCAGTCTGAAATTGACCCAACATGCAATCAAGATGTGTTGATTATCACTGGTGATTGGAATGTGAAAGCTGGACACAAAGAATCATTGGTAGTTGGAAAATATGGCCTTGGTGATGGAAATGATGCCGGAGATAGCATGATAGAATTTTGTGAAAGTAATGTTTTATTCATTGCAGATACGTTTCTTCAAAAACATAAATGGTGGCTATACACATGAACCTCTCAGATGGAATACACGGGAATTAAATTGATTATATCTGTTGAAAGAGGCAATAGAGAAGCTAAATATCTTCAGCCAAAACAAAGCCAGGAGTTGACTGTGGAACAGACAATTAATTGCTCAGATGCAAGTTCAAGTTGAAGCTAAAGAAAATTTAAACAAGTCCATGAAAGCTAAAATATGATCTTGTTCATACCCTACCTTAATTTAGAAACCTTCTGAAGAATAGATTTGATGCATTAAACACCAGTGACCAAAGACCAGATGACTTGTGGGACAACATCAAGAACATACATGAAGAAAGCAAAAGGTCATTAAAAAGACAGGAAAAGAAAAGGCCAAAATGGATGTTAGAAAAGACTCTGAATCTTGCTTTTGAACAGAGAGTAGCTAAAGTAAATGGAAGAAATGATAAAAGGAAAAAGTTGGGCAATAGATTTCAAAGAGTGGCTCAAGAAGACAAAGTAAAATATTACAAGGAAATGTGCAAAGACCTGGAGTTAGAAAACCAAAAGGGAAGAATATGCTAAGCGTTTCTCAAGAAAGAATGGAAGAAAAAAAACAAAGCCTCAAGTTGCAATATTGAAGGATTCTATGGACAAAATATTGAATGATGCAGGAAGCATCAAAAGAAGATGGAAGGAATACACAGTCACCGTACCCCCCCCAAAAAAAAATAAATAAAATCTGTCGATGTTCAACTATTTAAGGAAGCAGCATATGATCAAGAATCCATTGTCCTGAAGAAAGAAGTCCAAACTACACTGAAAGGATTGGCAAAAGACGATGCTTCAGGAATAGATGGCACACCCATTGAGATATTACAACAGATAGATGCAGTGCTAGAGGTGCTTACTGATTTATGCTAAGAAATTTGGAAGAAAGGTATCTGGCCAGCTGACTGGAAGCAATATTTTTCCCATTCCAAAGAAAGGTGATCCAACAGAAAGTGGAAATTACCAAACGATTTCATTAATATTACTTGGAAGTAAAATTTTGCTGAAGATAATTCAAAAATGATTGCAGCAGTATATTGACAGGGAAGTTCCAGAAATTCAAGTTGCATTCAGAAGAGGACATGGAACAAGGGATATCATTGCTGATGTGAGATGGATCTTGGCTGAAAGCAAAGGATACCAGAAAAGCATTTACCTGTGTTTTATTGACTACGCAAATGCATTTGACTGTGTGGATCATAATAAATTATGGATAATGATGGGAGGAAAGGAAATTCCAGAACACTTAATTGTGCTCACGAGGAATCTGCACATAGACCTACAGGCTATTCGAACAGAACAAGGGAATACTGCATGGTTAAATTCAGGAAGGGTATATTCTTTCACCATACTATTCAATCTGTGTGCTGAGCAAATAATCAGAGAAACTGGACTATATGAAGAACTTGGCATCAGGATTAGCGAAAGACTCATTAACAACCTGAGATATGCAGATAACACAACCTTGATTGCTGAAAGTGAAGATGAGTTAAAGCACTTAAAGATCAAAGACTCCAGTCTCCAGTAGGGATTACATCCCAACATAAAGAAAACAAAAATCCTCACAACTCGACCAACAAGCAACATCATGATAAATAGAGAAAAGATTGAAGTTGTCAGGGATTTCATTTCACTTATATTCACAATCAACACCCATGGAATCAGCAGTGAAGAAACAAGACATCATACTGCACTGGGCAAATGTGCTGTAAAAGTGTTAAGAAGCAAAGATGTCACTTTGAAGACTAAGGTGCACCTTACCCATGCCATGTATTTTCAATCACTTCATTTGCATGTGAAAGCTGAACAATGAGTAAGGAAGACTGAAAAAGAGTTGATGCCTTTGAATTGTGTTGGCAAAGAATACTGAATATACCATCAACCGCCAGAAGAATGAACAAATCTGTCCTGGAGGAAGTGCAGCTGAATCCTCCTTAGAAGCAAGGATGGCCAGACTTCATCTCACCTATTTTGGTCAGAAGGGACCATTCCTTGGAAAAGGATATCATGCTTAGTAAAGAGGAGGGTCAGTGAAAAAGGGGAGGTTCCTAAAAGAGATGGATTGACACAGTGGCTGCAACAAGGGGCTCTCAAGCATAGCAAGAATTTGAAGGATGATGCAGAACTGGGAAGTGTTTCATTATGTTGTATACAGGGTTGCTATGAGTTGAAGTTGACTCAAAAGCGTCTACAGCAACAACAATGACTAATGATGTTGATTACCCTATCATGTGCTTATTGACCATTTAAGGAGCTCTGGTCATGCAGTGGTTAAGGCATTCAGCTTCTAACCAAAAAGTCAGAGGTTCAAACCCA